ATATATATATATATATATATATATATATATATATATATATATATATATATATATATATATGTATTTATTGCACAGGAAGAGGGGAACATCGGGCGTAAAGTCACTTCATGAAGGATGTAACAGCTGCTGGATGCAGCGTCTGCAATGTTTAAAGTTAGTCAGGGCTCCAGCACCAGTAGGGAGAAAAACACCACAGATTTGATGCAATATCTGAATCAGCGCCACAAAAACTGATTGTATTTATAGTCGTATGTTGACAAGGCTCAAATTAGAGTTGCTTATTTTAATTCTATAGTTCTATTTTCTGTTTCTTTGCCTTAAATTATGCAGTTTATCTTATTTTCTGGCCGTTATATATTGGATATCGTTTTTTTAAAGCCCCAAATATCAATATCGGTATCAGCCTTCAAAATCTCATCTGTACTTTATAAATAAACTTGCCTTACCTTGTTAGACGGTTATGTAGAAAAATCATGAAGTTAAGGATAGAATAGGTTTGGATGGATGTTTCAAATGCACTGATTACGTTTGGAACATTTCTTCCCTAAGTCTGTGTTGCATTAGGTCAATTAGGTTAGATGCGCAGACATTGTGGATGTGTCACGCTTAAATCGAGCTTTACACATGATAATGTGTAATTTGTTGGCCAGTAGGGTTGTCAAAAGTATCGAAACTCAAAAAAGTATCGATACTAAAATGTTGTATCCGGATACAATACTCGTTTTTAAAAGTATCGATACTGTGCCACCACCAGTGGCACCTAAGCAGTCATTCATCTAAAGTGCAGAATAGAGGACAATGCACATTCAGAACACTGTGTGATTGAATATTTCTACGCACTTTTCAGTTTCAGACTTTTTTTTGTAACAGGTGCAGCTGCTGAGAATTATTTTTGTTTCTTAACCGGTTTGGATAGTGTCATTGTTATGTGTGCGAAGCATAGCCAAGGAAGGAACACTTAATTTTAATTTTATAAGTTTGTCATCAAGCTTGCTTAATATTGTGCACAGCATACAACCTTTATTGTATTTATTTATTGTATTTTATTTATTAATGAAAATATTTATGTAGAATTTTGGAGTCTTTGTTTTTATCCTTGTGGTATCGAAAATAGTATCGAGTATCGAGTATTTTCCTTAGTATCGGTATCGAGTTGAAAAGTTTAGTATCGTGACAACCCTATTGGCCAGTTAAGATTTCTCAGGGGGAGGATTTATGGAGCTCTGTGGTCAGCTGGCCCGGTATTATACATTAGCAGCCGTTCAAAATGGGCCTTCGCAGTCAAACACCAATCGAATGGCAGAACACTTCCCTCCAACTCCCAGGGATAAAACTTCCAGCCGCTGGAGTGACCCCCTCTTGCATATTTTCAGTGAGTTACAGGGTCTGACCAGAAGATGACGCTTCTCTTTAGATCTTAATGTCCACAAATCATGGCAGAAAGAATATTTTAGTATAAATATTGATGTTTAAAAGGGAATTGTAGGGGACCAGCCACGGACCCATCAAGGAAAGTGGTGAAATTTTGAATGGCTACTACTGTAGAGTGAAAATTGAGAGAACTGTGTTTTACCCGCTCCAGCGGTTCGAATGCAGCTGGCTCCAATTCCCTGTGAATTAGCTTTTATAAAGTAGGACGGAGCAATTTATGTTTGCAAATTCATTTTATTTTCCTTTGCACTAACCACAAGCTTGTAGATGTTTTACTCCAGGGTTTAATTGTTGTCATGACATTGAAAGCTTGCTTGTCCAGAGTCCGCTGTTGCAGAACTTTACTGTTACTGTTTCCTGGAAAGTGTTTTCTGGCATGCATTAATCTGCATGCTGTCTTCAACCCTCTCTTCCCTTCAGTGTGGCAGCAAACCCACTTGAAGGATATTACTGCCACCTAAAGGGCTGGAGAAAGAAAATCAATATCTTATTTTTGTTAAATGGAATGTGACTAAAATTAAAAGCCTCTGCAATTTGGAAATGGTGTTTTGTTAAATTGCAATTATATTGCAAATGTAATAGATTTCTCAGGCTTAATATAAAGGAAAGGTTTGGGTTACCATGTACACATGGTTTTATACAGAAAATTTCCATGCTTTGCAAGTTTCTAGGTTTCTTCATCCTAGTTTCCTGTTGAATCCAACTTTTGCACAATCATTATCTCATCTTAAAACCTTTAGCCTCCAAGGAGGTTTTTACACCAACCTCCAGTTTAGAATTGCATGTTGCTCTAATGAGTTCCAATGTTTTTTTTTTTCAGATGATGCAGCTGACCAGCGTACTTGCCTTATCTGTGGAGATCGCGCCACAGGCCTGCACTATGGCATCATCTCCTGTGAAGGCTGCAAGGGCTTCTTCAAGCGCAGCATCTGTAACAAGCGCGTTTATCGCTGCAGCCGGGACAAGAACTGTGAAATGTCCCGTAAGCAGCGGAACCGCTGCCAGTATTGCCGTCTGCTCAAGTGTTTGCAGATGGGGATGAACCGCAAAGGTAAATGGGGGCCACGTCACAATTACATTATTTCAGGACAGAAAATCAAAAGCTATTAAAATTTTATTTAATGATAATAAAAGTCGGTATCTTTTTAATTATGCATCATAGATCAGTTCAGATACTGAGGTTATGTGGCTCTTTGACATAAAGTATTTCTATTTTCCAATCAGCCACTCATTTTGTATACAATGTCTGTGTTTTTCCCTATAATCAGCTGGTCTTTTTAGATCCTACTTAAAACTGAGGGTTTGTGTCCAAATGCAGATCAGAAATGTAGACAAGCAGTCAGGATTGTAAAGTATTCTCACAAACAGCAGCTGTTAATATCATTAGGTCTAAATGAATCTGCTGATGCCATAAACCCTGTTTGCTATGGTAACAGGATAATAACTGGAAACAAAAACATTTATTGTAAAACATTAAGTGATTAAAGTAAAGCCCAAAGCTCTGGCTATGTGGAACATAACAGTTTTATTGTCTTTGTTTTCTTAGATCCCATTAGGAACCAGCTCTAGTACCAGCTGACATGTTTAAGATCTTTATATGAAAATCAGACTAAAATTGCTCAAATTAGTAATGCCTGTTGGTTAATTTAGGTTTAATCTGAATAGGGAAACAGTTACTTTTTCTCTCATAAAGCTTCGGTCTGAACCTGAAGACCAAAACAGCCTTTTGCCTAAATGTTGGGATATTTCTTACTGCTAGATGCCTTAAAGCTATTGCTTCTTTCAGTCATTAGGTTTTGTATTGTCCCACGCTGCCCTCTAGTGGTAAGCATGTTATATACAATATCTGGGGCTTCCAGAATGGTTGCCCATTTACTACATAATTGTCCAGTTTTATTAAATCTAAGACTGCTTTAAGGCATTTTGGAAATTCATTGCTAATAAAAAAAAGCACATATGGGTTATGATAAAAACAGGAAAGCAACAAAGAAAAATCCTATTTTAGCCACTAGGTAGCAGTCTTATACTTGTAATGTGAACTGATGTGGACTCTCTTCTTTCCTTTTGGCATGCAGCAATCAGGGAGGATGGCATGCCTGGAGGGAGGAACAAAAGCATCGGGCCTGTGCAGGTAAATCAGCTGAAATGTTGGTTTATGTGACTTCAGCTGGGTTTATGCCAACACAGAACTACTTCCTGCATATTTTCATTCTGTCTCACCCTCAGAGCCAGCTCACATATAGGCAACCTATTAAAAGCTGAGCCATTCACCGAATAACAGCTTCTAAGTGTTTGAGCGCCTTAAGCTTCCACATTTCATGCAGAGTTATGAGAATGAGCCCTGACCTTGTTATATCAGCAATCGCGCAGCTGCTGATTCTTCCTATTCAGCCGTAGCTTCATTATTGACGAGAGGGAGAAGAGCTGAACGGTCAGGAAAATGTGCGACACGAGGATAAGTGGCGTAGAGGCGCTATTCAGCAAAGCGATGTGTTCGATTCTTTTCTGCTCAATTCACCAAGTCAAAACACAGAAGCGCCCACCTCCATGAAGAAATAAAAAAAAAATCTCCCTTTTATTTCTGCAATTGCACCTGAAAGGGGACCTTTCTCTCATTAATATGGAATAAATGGCCTGTTTTGGTTGATGTGCTGAATTGATAAAAGTGAAAATGAATTGACCCTGGTCGTAGCTTGGAGACCCCACATTTCCCAGGATGGTAAAGCCTTTCATCATTGCCTCCTTTGTTTGTATTTTTGCCTCCGTTGACCTGCAAGGATTCTATTTATTTAGGTGTGTATGCCACTGCATTGAACACTGCCGCACACACACGCCTCTTTTTCCTCTAGTTCCCTGTTTCATTGTGTGATTGTGTCCTTGCTCTTCACCGCTTAAGTAAAAAGCTGTTGGCTGCCAGTCAGCGCAATTCAATTAAACTGAGAAACAGATTTTCATTAAACATGTTTATATGTTTTTTTTTTTATTTTCAGATCACAGAGGAGGAGATAGAGCGAATTATGACAGGGCAGGAGTTCAAGGAGGATGCCCCGGAGCACACCTGGGGAAACAACGGCGACAGCGACCACAGCTCCCCCAGCAACGGGGCCTCTGAGGGCAACCAGCCGTCGCCTGCCTCCACTTTGTCGTCCAAGTGAGTCGTTCATCTCACCCACTCAACAGAGCAGTGCTAGCACTTGCCCCCATCATTGAGATAATGAGCTGGCCATGACAGCCTAACACCTCATTCCCATCTCACCCACAACTTAGTTAAGGCATTCTTAAGGCAGCCAAAGACTGCCTGAGTGTTCACCTCCGCACTCACGCTTGGTGATGATGGCAATCTCTGAGAACTTGTTACACTATCTGCTTTCCTCGCCACGGAGACAAGCGCATTGTCTGCACTCATCAAGGACAAATATTGTCTAGGCACCGGCATGACGGCATTTATTTTAGTCTCATTTTGTGTAAACATTCGATTAATCTCAGCATTCACGTCTACTGATAGCTGTTCTCAGCAGTATGTTTTATCAAACTAAATCTGAGCAGAAATGATCAGCAGTCCCTGGGAGCCGGGGCTTCAGTATGCAAAAAATGCTAAATTTAGTCTAGAAGTTTGTGAAACCATGCAAAGATTTTTAATAAAGAATGGCTGCTGCTCTGCAGTTCTTCCTTGGATGGAAATGAAAGATTAGGAAATGTTCACATCAGAGCATATTTGCAGTGAAGATAACTGTTTTAGCTAAAGCTGTCTGAGAAAAAGCCACTTGGCTCTGATGAAAAGCCCTTTTAGGACCTACTGTATGAAACTGACTGTAATCATACGCTCTTCATATTAACCTTTGACTGTTTTCTACTTCCAGCCGATCTGTAGAGATGAATGGCTACACGGCGGCCCTCAGGGACCAATACATCAACACCTCCATGTCCACACACTACCAGCTCCTGCCTCACCTCTTCAGCTATGCAGCTCAGTCAGGCCTGCTGACCCCCCAGCCCCGCAGCCTCTACCCACAGTCCCACCCTTTGGTGCTGCAGCTAATGGCTGCTGAGGACCTGTCCCCACTCAGCACCCCTATGCTCATTGAAGACGGGTGAGTAGATCCGTGCCCACCTTACTATGTCAACATTTATAGATTCCTTCTGCTTGTTTTTTTTTTTTAAATCACATTTCAGTTTTTAAAGTGGTTAAATATATTTACTATCAGAGACAAATAAACTGACTGTATATAAAAACCTATTTGCTAATAATTTCTTTTAAGGTGAAAAAAAGCTTCCAAACCAACTTGGCCTTATTAAAAAAACGAATTAGCTTCTTATCTACATAAATAATTACTTGTAATTAAATGCATGTATTACAGAGCTGAATTTTTCACTAGTAAAAGTGAGGCCTAAAGTAGATGTATGACTGTATGTGGATTAAAATATCTTACAAACAAAACGCATCATGTCTCATTTAAATGAATTTAAGAACAGATAGAATTCATACAGTGAAATCTACTAGGATACTTATGGTTCTAGAATCCATTCTGAGGGTTTGTGACTCACAGTTAGAGCATTAATGCACTTTAAAATACTGTAAGCATAGATGAGAGGCTCAAACAAGAGGTCCCAAAAGAACCCAGAGCATCATTAACACTGGGACTCCCAGAAATCTGACACTCAGCATAGAAGGGAACCAGTTCCTATGATAACATCAATATTCATGATTCAACAGTAAGAGAGAGGATGGACAGAAACAGGCTAAATGGCAGAGCTCCAAATACAGCCACTGCAGAGAAAGATAACAATGGACATGGATTATAATTATTTTTTTACTATCTTGAAGATTCATATGGAAGATGATTAGGGCTGCTGGAAAACAAAATAACTTGTTTTATTAATATGGGGAACAATTCAGAATTCTGAGAAAAAGAGTCAGAGTTCTGAGATTAAAGTCAGTCTCTTTTACCATATTTAACTCAAGTGAAAGAAAAAAATAATAATTTAACTTTTTAGATTTTTTTTCTCCAGTGGCCATAATCCTCATTTTAGACAATATTCTATGGATGCATTATAATTCAATTTTATGCAAAAGTGGTTTAAGAAAAGCAGCATCGATGGGTAAATATGGTGGTAGTGTGATGGTCTGGGACTGCCTATGGACTTGGATACCACTGAGATGTTGTGACATTTTATTTAACAGGTCATTCAGGCTCAGAAAGCCTCCAATGATGCTGAGTGGAAATACATTCTGCAAAGAAGAACAATTTGAAAGGCTAGCTGCCTGTTAACACAAGCGGTTGATGCCTGTTGTAGTTATTAGGTTTAATTCAAATGTCTACATTTAAGACTGCAGTTTTTCTTATTTAAAGTTGTGGTTGTCGGATGCTAAAGAAGACGACTGAAACATAAAGCAGAAACTGAATATATCTGTCAGGACTAAAGCACTTTACAACCCCAGTTATTCAACCAACACTGGTTTTATTATTATAATTTTTTTGTCTCCCTCTTGGATCCCAGATACAAGGTAACACAAGTGGAGCTGTTCGCCCTGCTGTGTCGCCTGGCGGATGAGCTGCTCTTTCGGCAGATCTCCTGGATCAAGAAGCTCCCCTTCTTCTGCGAGCTTTCCATAGAGGACTACACCTGTCTGCTCAGCTCCACCTGGCAGGAGCTCATCCTGCTCTCCTGCCTCACCATCTACAGTGCCCAGATCTTTGGAGACTTGGCCGACGTCACTGCAAAGTACACGCCATCTGACGACGAGCTCCAGGGGTGAGTGGCATGCTCATGAATGAGAATCATTTCTGATCCTTCTGATCCTGTTTTGTGTTATTTTGCTTCCTTTTGTATAATTTAATTTTGGAACCCAGACTAGCATCTCTGACCAGCAAAAAACATAGTATCTACAGTAATGCTGATGACCTAATCAGTGATGTGCAATGTCAACGATGTCATAAAAGTAATCACTTCTGACCCCCTTGAAACATTGAACCAAATCCATTGTTTCAGCGTTGGTTCTGTCTGGAACCTGGCTGCCAGCTGCAGCAGTCAGCTGTTTTTGTTTAGAGTACAGAGAGTGAAACCAGAACACAGAGTCCTTCGCTTCAAGCAGCAAGTAGGCAAGGTTAGCAACGAGCTAGCTGAGTGCTTATCACCTCATGAAGCAAATATTGTGTTTTAAGAAAGGAATAAAATAACAGGGTTCTTCTAGGATTGTTTTAATATTTTTTAACTTTGGAAAAATATGTGTACAAGTAAAACATGGTATAGAAAACAATTACTTCACCAGTCTTTTCAACACAAGAGATAAAATCTTTATTTGTATGCTATATAGAAAGCATAATTATTCTTAAGATATGGGTGAGGACAAAAAAAGATTTGCACACTAGTTATTTAATTAATAGACCAGTATTTGGCCTAAAACATCCATCCATTTTCCATCACGCAAATCCCTAGCGGGGTCGCGAGGGGTGCTGGTGCCTCATCTCCTACTGTCTATGGGTAATAGGCGGGGTGCACCCTGGACAGGTCTCCCGTCCATCGCAGGGAAACACAGAGACACACAGGACAAACAATCATTCACACACTCACACCTAAGGAGAATTTAGAGAAGCCAATTAAACTAACTGCATGTTTTTGGACTGTGGGAGGAAGCCGGAGTACCCAGAGAGAACCCACGCATGCTCAGGGAGAACTTGCAAACTACATGCAGAAAGACCCCGTCCCGGGAATCGAACCCAGAACCTTCTTTTTCTGAAAGGGCCTAAACTCTTTCAAAAAATTAACAAACTACAGTCACACCTGGATTATTGTTTATTCAGTTTGAAGAATTATTTTAATTTTACCAACATTGTCCTTACATTGGGTGTAATATTAAAGAAATTTAGGGAAATTTTCCTCCTTAAATCTGATGGAAAATCTGTGGATATAGCTAAATATTTAGGTAATATTTATCCTTCTAAACATGGAAACTTTGAGCTCATCACCAAAGACAAATCATTAACAATCCAAATGGAAACATGCAAAAAAATAAGAAGTGTTTGACTGCTGTGGTTCTAACAGTTCTCCACTGATTTTTGAGTTAGGTACAACTTTTTTTTGCTTTCTTTCTGGAAGATGTCCGTCTCTTTTTTTTTTTTCTATCAGTTTGTAAACATGGGGCAGAAGGGCTGTACGCTTGGCTTTTTTTTTTTTACCAGGAGCACTAGTAATCGTTATCACATTATTTCCATATTAAAGGTAGATCAACATTAGTAAGACAGAAAGAGATTAAAAATACTCTAAATACATTTAAACTAGTGTTGCGCTGATGCCTTTATTTTGCCCCGATACCTGGCTGTGCAGTATTGGCCGATACCATCTGTTTGAAATATATGTGTGTGTGTGTATATGAAGAATTGCATGCTACTTGGATGTAAAATAATTGCCATCACGGCTTTGTCAGACTACTGCCTGCCTTTGTGTAGCAGGAAACTTTGTATTGCCTATCTGAAATGGGTGACAATAGTTGAATAAACCTTTGGCTCTCTATTCGCCGATACCACCATTTTAGTGCAATATTGGGGCCCTGCCCGATACTGGCATCTGTATCGGTGCAAAACTCATTTAAACTTCAAGAGAAACTGATGGTTTCTCAAGACTCCAGATGACTGAACTGAAACCAAGTCAGCTTTATGTTATTAAATCTAAACTTTAAGACTGTTAGCAGAGACACATAGTGGACGAGGCTGTGGATTTTAAAGCAGGGAGGATTACTATTTTAGTGCAACAGGTTCAAAGAAAATAAATTATACAACATATTACATTTAAATCCCACTTTTTAGTTCCAGGGGATCACTGGCAGCCTTGCACATGGTTGGCTCATGTTCACTGGGGAAATAAAGGAGAGTCGCTCTGCTCTCAGACTGCAGCTACACTGGATGAGGGAGGGGCTCGCTCACTCACTACTCGCTGAAGACACTAAACTCAGAGCTATCGTGCACTAGTTGTTCACCTGCCTCTGTGAGCTGACGGCTGTCTGGCGCAGGGTTCACGTGTCACGGAGCTTCCCTCATGTTTATGTGCCAATAAGGAGGTGAATGCGTTCCAACTATAGTGCCGCATTAGGTGTCGCTGGCGAAATCTGTAAGACAACTTCCATGTCTCTGGTTCCCTGAGTATTTCTCTTATACAAATTTACCATTTGGCTTCACCTTATCGGAAATTCATTCCCTTTCTTATTTGTTGTCTTTGTTTTTTGGAGAAAAGCCTCCTCCAGCTGTGATTAACAAAGCTACTGTTGGAATGTTAATTAGTAACTGAAGGTCTTTAATCTGGATTGTTTGGAACCTTTGGGTTCTTAATTAGTTTAATTATCAGGAGATCTCTCTTAGGTGTTTCCTGCCTTTCTCAAATAGACTGCTACAGATAAACACCAGCCCCATGGATGGATGGATAGACAAATGGTTGGATGGATATTTTTACCTTTTCTTATTTGCTCTGGCCTGACCTCGCCTATGAAAACTCTGTAGATAAAGATGAGAAAATTCCTCCCTGAGGTTCTGGCTCTTATTGTAAGCAGATATTTTTGTTATTAAAGATTTCTGGTGTTTATTGAACTGGATTTCAATGTTAAGGGAAAATGATGTTAGACCGTCAGTGTTTTTCTCTTCCATCTTTAAATTATGTTTCATGCTGCATTGGGTTTGTGCTTCAGTTTAATACCTTTCAGTCATCCAATGCAATAAATGAATGCGTCGTGTGTCGACTGTATAAATTACCAGGACAGAATCAACACTGACCTATTATCCATCTTTATTAAAAGATGAGACAAAAACAATGTGGAACAAAATCACTTAAAGATATGAAGGAATGATGAAAGTTTTCAGGAACATTCTGAGAAGGTATAAATGTTTAAAAAAAAATGCATTTCTTCTATTATTTACCATTTTAAGCACTTGTTTGTGCTTATTTGATTTCCACAGTGCAATTAAAATGGTTAATATTTTTAATCCCTATTTTTTTATGACTGAGTACTGAAAATTAATACGTTTTTTGTCTAAATATAGCTTTAGATAACGGCCAAACATATCCAATCACACCTTGTCAGCTGATGAGAAGATTGACTTTAGCTGTGCAAAATCTTCATTTTGCAGAATGACGAACTAAAAGTAGCTTGGAAAGGGCCTAAAAAACATTTCCAGATTATTGGTGAACAACAGTTGATTCTCTTAAACTATTGCTCCTCTGTTCCCTTTTTAGCAGAGAGTAAATATTGACCTGTATTCTCTGCAGCCTGGGTTGAACCCTCGGCCAGTGGGAAAGGGGTATTGGTTACAGTGTCTATTAATGTAATATTTTAATCCATTTTTTTGATAAACAGTGCCTTAACATGTAGAGACAATAGATATTCACTTGCTTTGTGTTATCGATTCTACAGCAATCCCTCACACAGATGATGTAAGCAGTGACAGTAAGGAGGAAAAACTGCATCTTAGCAGGAGGAAACCTACAGTAGAACCAGGCTCAATGTTGGTTGCCTTCTGCCAAAGCTAACTGGGGGCTCAAAGAGATAGAAGCAGACAACAAAAGGGACATAGAAGCACTGATTCATAGCTACTTTCTATGCTAGAGAAAATAATGTAAACTACCTTGACAGGTAGCCCTGTCCAGGAAAGAAACGGTTTACCAGACGAGCTCTGAGCCATTTTTAAAACCAAAAGTACTTAATAATAGATATATGTAAATAGGATTGAACTAGCTAATACTATTGAATTGAAGAATTGAGAATTGAGATATAATGAAAGAGAAAGATGTAAAGTGGCCCCTATGTCCTCCGGTGGCCTAAGCCTACAGCAGTATACCTATAGAGCTAGCTCAGGATAAGGTTTTTCAAAAATGAAAGTTTATTTACTATATTTACAAAATGAAGAGGTGGGTGATGCTTTCAGAAAGCCCTGTCTTGATCGGGGTAGGTTGTCATTTATTGTGTTTGGGGGCTTTATAATATCACCCATAGCAATGATCATGCCTCCCCCAGGTCCTTGTAACATCTCATCATTAGCACACACAGGAGATTAACTGTTCAATGTAGCCTGCTGGAGCTATGCCAGGTTCATATATCATCAAGACGGATGTAGTTATCAGGATTTCCTTGTTCCACATGACAACAACAGCGGAGACGTTCCAGTACGTGAGCCCAGTATCTATGAAAGGACCGGAGATTTCACTCCATCGCAGCAGGGATATTATTTTTCTCAGTGAAGGGTCTGTGATGTAATCTGTGAACAGGAGGACTCCTCTGGCTAAACTGTGACTAGAACTGTCTGGCATGAAAAAAAAAAAAAAAACACCCCAGGTAAAGGAGGGGTGGGAGGGGATGCTGTTTTGTAAATCATGCTTGAGTTATCTGTCTGTATGGCAGACATTTTTCTAATATATGGTGGTGCTCCACCACTCCGGACAATTTTCCTTTGAGTTCAGGACTTTAAGGAGTGTCGGTTGATTTACAGCAACAATGTATAATGTGGTCATATAGATTAGAAGTTTAAGAGCCACAGAAACAGGGAGGAGATGATAAGGAGAATAAAACTTCATGAGGACTTCAATTTGCTCTACAAATCTATGGTAGCTCAAACTGTTTTAAGCTCTTTGTGTAGACTTGACATAATCCTTCCTCATTTTTGTGTCGTTTACTTACTTAAACAAAATGAGTTATTAACGCTTAACTTTTTCTATAAAGATTTTCTCAATGTTTTGTTTTTGATTATTTTTTTAACTCTGTGACTGACAAGCATGTGTATCTGATTCCCCAGTTTCAGTGAAGATGGGATGGAAGTGATGGAGAGGTTGATATATCTGTTTCGCAAGTTCCACCAGTTGAAGATCAGTAATGAGGAGTACGCCTGTATGAAAGCCATCAACTTCCTCAACCAAGGTGAGGAAGAACAGCCGTCTGTTGTTGCTGAATCTGCTCTGTAGTGGTGCACGCCACATGACTGTTGTGTTGTTGTCCTCATGCAGATATTAGAGGATTGTCCAATGTCTCCCAACTCGAGCAGCTGAACAAGCGTTACTGGTATGTGTGTCAGGACTACACAGAGTACAAGTACCCGCACCAGCCCAAACGCTTTCCTGAGATTATGATGTGTCTGCCCGAGATCCGCTGCATCGCAGGTAAGGCCAGTGAGAGCCTCCAATACCGGGTAGTTGGTCAAGTCCCCCGTTTTTATTGTTATTAGGGTTTCATAAAACTGAGCCTAAGTCGGTTACTATGGCAATAGATGCAGGGAGGATGTTGCATGAATGTTACAGATTTTTTCTTGAGAGGTTTCATTTGTTTGACCACAGAACAGCTTGGATCATGGCCTGAATGTTCCCCAAACAGTTGGCAAAGACCTGCCTTTCTTGGCCAGTGACATAAAATGAGGCAGGGGGTTTTCATACAATATAATTCAGATGGATAAAGTTAATTGAACTTAATCTGGCCCAGATTTTAAGTGCCTAACACCTCATTCCCATCTTACCCACAACTTAGTTAAGGCATAGTATAAAAAATAGCATAACATAAAAAAAAAGAAAAAACAAAGTTTTTTTACTTAAGGAAAACCCATTGATTGCATCAATTCACTGACTCCCTCACACTAAGCATGCTTGTAGCGACAGTGGAGAGGAAAAACTCCCTTTTAACAGAAAGAAACCTCCAGCAGAACCAGGCTCAGTGTGAGCGGCCATCTGCTGAGGCCGACTGGGGTTCAAGGAGACAGAAGCAGAGATAGAAAGGCGGCCCCATCCAGGAAACACACAGCCAGGCAGACGAGCTCAGAGCCAGAGG